AATTGAGATTTTTGTTGTTATTTCATAATACATTTCTTCATATATCCATTAGAACACAAATAAAAAAAACATTACTTTTTATTGAAATAATTTTTGATCCAGATTCTAAGCTGTCGCTAAATTTTTTATTATTAAATGCAAGTAATTTGCAATTTTTTTATTATGAAAATTTATGTGTAATACATCTTTAATCGTCATAAGTACGATCCGAATCGTTTCGATTGGAAATCGCGACTCGTCATCGCTGCGATCATAATCAAGAAACTGAAAATTTCGCTTCAACGCGGAGCAACATGTCGAAATGATTGGGATCGGCGCACGCGACTACTCCACCAGGCGGAAAGGAGAAATTACCCAAGATATTTTTAGAAAAACGAAGGTGGCACGCTAGTACTTGAATGTAGGTCGATATATAACGTAGTCGTTCCGGCGTTTTATTGATTTCCCGCGGACTCAATTCCGGCGTACACGCCGTCGCCGATTTGCCGTTGCGGATGTACGACGCATGTAAAAAGAGATCGACGTACACCCTAATCAGTCTGACATTTCTCTATCCTATTGGTCTCGGTTGCCTTTGGAACGCACAAAACCTGCCTAAACCTAAAGAATGGCTAAAGAAAAATATTCTATTCATATACAATAATAACTCACAACAAGTATAACTATATATAACTTCTTCTCCTTTAAGATCAATCTTCTTTTTAATATTTGCGATTAAATAAATAATGGTTGTTTTGAATCGAGAAAACTATATCGCGATGATATCAAATAATAAAATCAACATTTCTGTCTGAAATTATAACGATCTTTTCATAAATTATCCGCATTCTCTAATAAAGCTATATACATAATATGTTCAAATAATATTTTGTTATCTCCTGGGTATCATCTTTTATATACAATGAGAGGTATACATGCAAACAAGACAAACTGCAAACTTTATTAACAATTATCGAAAAACTCAATAATATGCAAAATTTGTATATGTAATAAAATTAAAAAATCTTGCTATTTTTAACAATTATTCTTCTTCAATAAAAAGCAGACGGATATGGTCGAAGAAAACATATTTTACAAAAATGATATAAACTACACTCTAAATTTTTGGGAGTGAAATTTCACTCCCAAACTATCACAAAGAGTGATAGTTGCGCCAGTCCGACGGGAGTGAAATTTTCACTCTTAGAGAGTGAAAAATCACTCCAAATGGGAGTCAATTTTCAATCTATGTGGAGAGTGAATACATTTCACTCTCTGAAGGGAGAGACTGAAACTTCACTTTGATAAATATTAAGTTTAGCCTTCTTACGTT